GAGGATGAGAGTCAAGTAATGTTCGAAATTGGCACCGTGTCGTGGAACCGTTTACAGAAACGAAACGTTTGCCTTATCTGTAACGGCAGTGACTGTTTTTGTCGAATTTCTGGCGATAGTTCTAGCATTAGGTATTCGTGCAGTCTTTCGGATGAGTTTTATTCAGGGATGGAATTCTATGCAACGAGTAGTAAAACGTTGCAGATTGCAAAGGCGGTCGTGAGAAAAAAATATATAATTAGTATCAACGAACGGCTGTCGTTGTTGCTTGCAGCTTGCACACAATCTTCTTTTGTTTCCCGGCCTCGCCTTCTAGAACAAAGCTATCATGAGGGATATTCTGCAACACTGTTGGTGAAATATCCCTAATGATAGTCTCTGTGTCCGAAGCCGAGACGTCAAAAGAATATTGTGAACCGATCAAAGCCATTCGTATTGAAAAAATCGAAATTTTTTTAATTTTTATTTATTCCCAGTGGATGAATCCTCAATAAGATTCCTCCGGATGATGCTCTGCTTGCAAGTGCACTACAGGCACTTATAGCAGTTTTCTGTACTAGGGGATTTAACGCGAATTCTTATGGAAAATCTCAATCCTCCCGCATTGAATTTAATATGAAACGGTATAGAACTCCACTAGGCGAAAGTCGTGGCAAGTACAACTATCAGCCATAGCGTAGCAACAAATACCTTCCCTGACTTTGTTGCTAATTTGTTTACATCCTTACCTCAAGCCATTTACATAAGCAGAGCGTCCTTGTGTTTGATATCCGCTGTACTCAGTTTAATGATCGCGTTTGCTATGCTGCACTGGTTATTGGATTGTGGAAAGAACCACTTTTCTCTGACAACAGATTTGCCTCTATCTTGTTCCTTCATGTTGCATGCTGGCCTCTTGGCCGAGGTTTGCCATGTCTGAACTCCTGCGAGAGAAGTTCGCGAGCTGGAGTAAATTGTCAGTCAGTCTGTCTAACAGGGATAACCTCCTTTTTAATCTTTTTTCTACTGAGCTCACCTATGTTCAGAAAAGTATACAGTTAGTCCTCAGATGATCCTAACATTTGGCCATCATTATGCGCCGAAGCCAACTCTGCTGCACAGATTTAAAGATCGTTCTTGCTCCCCCTTTAGAACAACTGTTTCCATGCTGTGCAACAACAATGACCTGACAGAGGCAAGGTACAGGCGGATTTTTGTTGGAATTCCATTCTTAGCCCAAATATTAGACAGATTTCAAACAGCACTCGAGGTTAGGGCGATTCTCCAATTTAACTCTGACTGGGTGGTGTCATCGCTGGAAATGATAGAGCCGAGACACTTAAATCGGTCAATCTCCAGAAGTGATTCACCTCTCTGGTTCACTTTCATATCAGCTAGAGTCCGAATTCCACGGACAGCATTTTTCTTCTCGTCAGATTTACTTTACTGCTGTAAAGATGTGCTTTCCTTCGCTTTATGGTGCCTCATTAGGCAACTGTTTCAAGACTCGTAACGATCACTGAAAAATACCGTAGCGAATATAGTATTTGCCACTGTATATAATTCAACACTGTGACATGATCAAATATTTCATTTCCTATCTGAATAAGGCACACATCATCCAAAAACGATAAGCGTTTCTCATGAAGAGAGATCTGAATAACCCTTTATGCATATACTGCCCCGATGTCATACCGTAACACTGACCTGGTCGTGACAAGCTATAGACTGATTTTTGTAAAAATTAATAACCTCAGTCAGTTATTGTACTTGTAGATTTTCGAAAGCTCCGGAGGCAAGAACGGTCCTCATATTTGAGTCTGATTGAGTAGTGTTTTTGTCGCTAAAGATGATGGACCCGAGATTCCTAAAGTGGCTGACTTCTTCTACCACTTCGTCTCTCTATTTCACTAGTAGAACAGCTGTGTTCGATAGATTCGCGTAACTTTGAACTTCCAGACGTTAAGGTGGAGGTCCATTTTCACAGCTGTACTGTATTCAGAAGTCGTCAGTACAGCAACGAAGCCCAAGCCGCATTCTTTTCAGCATGGAAAATTATCTGCGTATTCCAGATGTGTAAGGTAGCTGGGCGGATATGTTGAACTGCTTCTTGTATCTACATGAGATCTTCGTCTTTGTCAGGGTCAGCACTACTTCAGAGATAGTCAAGAAAAATCGTCGAGTGATAAAGGCGAGAGCACATTTACCTGACGAACACCATAATCGATAGGGGGCCACATAGATAGTTTTCATTCAACTTTTATACTAGATGGTTCCTGCATGTCCTCCAAAATCGAAACGATATTCTAAGTACTTCATAGCCTTTTAAGATTTTTTGTTTCTTGGACACGCAGCATTATAGAGAGGAAAGTGACAAACGGAGGCAATTGGGAGTTAACTGCGCAAATATTCTCGTGTCCTCATTTTGCTATTTCCGTTTTTTACTTATTCTACCTTTCTTCAGCTCTGCTTTTATACTTTCGCAACTGTTTCTTGGGCAAATAACTTGTGACTGACTTTACATTTTAGAGGATACGCAGATTCGCAAGTAAGCAGTGCGGGTACAACGTGCGAACACGGCACTGTCAATCGGCAGCAAGTCGCTCCGCTAGATGACATAGCATCCAGCAGTAACCGGGATGACCGATCTAGTGCTGTTTACGCGTCGATCAGTTGTCAGAAAAAAACGATGGCCAAGGGATCAGGTCATGGCGCCGATGGTCGGTCACCGTCTAGCAGCACGAAAGCGCCTACGGAAATGATCGAGTCGGTCTCTCAGCTGTACTCAAGCCGCCTGGCCACCGAGTTCAAACGAAAAAATCGAGATATAAGCAGCGAGGTCACTCAGCCTTCTTACGCAACTGCTCCTGACTCGAACAGCACGCCGGTCGAGGAATACGTCCGGGTAGTCAGCGAGGCGATTAAGCTGGGCACAGTAGAACTGTCGGACGAAGACGGAGCGAAGTGGGCGCGTACGGTACGCGGCGATTGTGATTTGCAAGAACTGTTGGTCACGTGCAGGACATACGAGGATTTCAAGGTGATCAGCTGCATCTCGCACTATAAGCAATTGTTTCCACGCGAAAAGTGGGAAGCGATCGTGAAAATCTTGTCGCACGTCGCGTTGCGGCGCGACAAATGCCAACGGCGTTTCCAGCGGCCGCCATGGCCGTCTGTTTCGGGGACAACGTTCTCGCCCGCCGCGTCTGGGTCTCCTCTGAGCGCCGTCGAGAAAACGGCGGCTGTTACAGCATCGGCGTCCTCCGTGAAGGGCACAGACTCGAGCGGTTTTCACTCGTTCGGCAGCACCCCGTTAGAACGCATATTCACCCGCGATTCCTACTGCCAGGTGGAGGACGAAATGCAGAACGTGCAGCGCGGTGAGCAGCGTTGTCTGGAGAAGGGAACCGCCGAACTGTTCGAGTCAAACTCGCAGTTTCGTGGCCTCGGCGAAAAACAGCGCTTGGAAATGCGGCGACGAACGACGACGACTGGCCGCGACGACGCAGCCGAAGCCGCAAGCGGCAAATCCTCCTTTCCAGAGTTACCGTCGCTCAGGTTCTATCATTACGCTGTTGGCAACAAGTGTTTCGCGAACGACAACGAGAACGAGAGCAGTTTCAGCAGCAGCACGTCCGTCGTCAACATATGAGCCCCCGATCAAGTCACATTAAGCGTGTGATTTCGTGCAAAACATCGGTCGATGTCTAATCGTCGTGCATTAAAGTTTTTCTCCTCATTCTCGTCGATCTCGATGAAACGCAAGTCACTGCGCTATGGTAGTAACCGTCGAAAAGACGCGCTGCGTTCCTCCCGTGTGAGCCACGTCAAACTCTGGTCTAAGAACAGCAACGTTGAGCGTTACTTGTTTGCTAGGTCATTCGGTTGACCAGCGATCGATCCTGTGATCGAAAGCTTGCACCGACCGAACGCCATGGCAGACGTCGATCCCATTTCTATGCCCAAGGTAGATGATGAGGGAGATTCCTCTGTGCTTACCTCAGCTACAGTTTTCGTTTGTTTCTTCACAGGCAAGTTACTGGGACAGGCAACTTGTGTACGCAACGAAGCTGCCAAAGTCAGCCTTTCGCTTCTCTGAAGGAATAGTTAGTGGGAATCCACCCAGAGTATCACATCTGCAAGCGGAATAGGGCGGTGAACTGTTTCAGGAGATATGCGCCAATTTTAGTGTCTCGGCTCCATCATCTCCAGCGATGACATTTACCATGCAGAGTCAAATATTAGGATCGCTCTTGCTTCGAGGCTATGTGGTAGCGTGGCCATGTGGGTTGAGAGAGGCGTAACCCATTGGCCCTTTCCATAAAACGGATATCTGTTTCATCGGTGAGATCAGTGTTGCTGAACAGTTTGGAGACTGCTGCTTGAACGAAGAATAAATATCGCCGGTTGTGCCGCATACAGTAGTATGACTTGAATACATAATGAGGTTTAAATGGCACAAACGCCTAAGGACTAGTTTTCAATGCCTTTGAAAGTAAGCTGCAGAGCTAAGGAACAAAGGATAGAGTCAAATTGGTTTAGCATAATTCATTTACTCCATCCGGTAAGCTTTATCGTGGGAGCCTAAATATAATAAACGTCAATCACTAAGTAAAGCATGTAATATGGAAGACCGTGTTAGACGCAAGCCCGCTTTGGAGAAGGAACTATTAATCCAGAGTACAATAACCTTTGCCTAATGGAAAATTTGTGAAAAACAGAATGCCATGGATATCAGTAATTAGGTATTCATCATTCTAATTATTGAAACGCTCAAGGTGATTACCTCCATAAACGCGACACGCAAATCGGCTCCTGATATCGGAACGTACCATAAATTTTGAATAGCAGCGCGACAAACGGAAATACAGGGGAAACTACACTCTCAAAAACTGCGATATTTCTTTTTCTTTTTTGAAAGTTCAACATCCGTGAAAATCCAAATAAGACATGCCCATATAACAGCCGCGCAAATTTTCAAATAACAGGTATGGTTGCGCTAGAAAAATGTCACCTTATGCAGGTGCCAGTATAATTTACCTAAGTAAACCGAAAAGCACATAATAAGCTGCCATTACTTGGATATAATAAGTGAACAAATAGGAAACAACAACACAAGCAGTGAAGATATGGATCTCTAAGAGGCTGACTATAGTCTTGTTCGAAATAACTGTTCCTTTTTCTTGAGATAGATTGGGCAGCAGCAGAACGACTGACCCTCCGTCAGCCTCTGTTCGTGGCCTGCAAGAATTGAAAGGACAACACGGATTTTATGCTTTACCGCTTCGAAAGGCACTGTTGGAAACAGTTGCAGTGGGTGAATTGAGTCGGGTAGAAATGAACTGCCCGACCATGGCTGATGTGTTTATCAAGCATCCGGTTAGGATGCCGCAAGCCTGACAGCGGTGCAGTGACAGAGTCGGACCAGTAGTTTCGAATAGCTCAGAATGCGAACCAATTGCTTTCTTCTAGGAAGGCTTGGCTGCATTCCTCGACAAAACACTGTAGATCGTCTTCGCAAAACTTAAACACCTCACAACAGTTCGCACACCGAATCTAGTTGATCGACGCCATTAAAAGAAAAAAAATAATGAAGAAGAATGGATTACAGCTTGAATGGAAAAGATGAAGAATTTTATTTTGCAGCAATAACAGAAGAAAACGCATCAAAATTATATATGTATCACAAGACACAAAGCAGAGAACAGAATCACACTAGAGATCTTGGAGCTAACAAAACTGAACCTGAAACTACGAACCAGAAATAAAACGGATAAGCAGAAGAAAACGATGTCACACTGAGCAAATTCAAGTGTTTAACGTCCATAGGAAATCGTAGAAACATTAACACGTCTAGACGTAGATGATAAATTTCGCGAATGACATTGTGAGAGACCACTGTTCTCGAGGATGTTCTTACCCATGCTAGACCACTAAACCAATCATACTGCAACCGGCTGTAGGTTGCTAAGAAACAGGACGCGGAATTTGGTCACGAGGCTCTACTTGTAAGAACACCGTAGATACAATCGGCAACAACTGCCTGTGCGAAATATCACAGTCTTCATATCTACGCCATAATCTCTTCGTTTCAGCGCCGACTGGTCGTTTTACATGCCTGTGGATTCTTTGTCCATCCTTGGGGACCAACCGGCGTTGGCCAGCTGGTTTACTTCCGGTGCATAGTGCGCTTTCGTCTTACGATGTGCGGAGGGCGAGCACTCTTTCTATTGTTCGACCCACGTTTCCGGTCCTTTGTGGGAGACGAAACCTTGTCCTTCTGTTCGCTTCATGTCTAAGGTAGCGCGCGGGGGTCTGCGTCCAATTGCCTCCACTTCGTCACAGTCAGTCGTCGCTAACCGTTCCAGTATACCTCAGTTGAGAGGCCATCTGTTCTAGAGAGTTGTCTCAGCAATCGCAATATATACATATATATTTAGACTTCTCTGAAGCTGTACATAAAATTAAGTTTTGCAACTCCTGGATGCAATAGACTGAACATGTGCATGCCAAGTAAGGTCAGATGACAAAATGACATCCAAATATTTAACTGTTTGATATGAAATGATTAGACTGATAGTCACAAGGAGAGGATGATAGGACTGAACCAGAAGGGTTGAATTCTTCATATTTCACATCATGCAAATCCATTGGGCCGTTTCAGATGCGTTAAATAGGAGAATGTTGGTGGAGAAGTATTGGCATGCGTTCTCGATGACATCCACGCCATTTTTCCAGTCATTTCGCGATATCATTATGCTGCTATAACAGTGCCGTCGGTGTATTCGATGTATTTGAAAAGGGAACTAACGATAAATCATTCGTGAAGATGTTGAAAAGCAGAACAAAGGTGACTGAGTCCTGAACTACGCCGAGACTGTATGCAAAGATTTTCTGTAAGTGGCTGGACCTCTTCCTGCTAATCATGACGATCTGTTGGCGGCGAGAAAAATAACTAGCGAACAGTGAAACGATTGAAGAATCATTGGATAGCGTGTCTAGTTTCTGAAGTACTTGATCCCGTGGAACAACGTTAAAATCAGAACTAAGGTCAGGAAATAACGACCTTACCATTCGTCTGCCTTTGACGAGTTCTTGTGCAATTTGACCGATTAGGTGGTCAATTCCATCGTCAATTCCAGATCATCGTTTGTATACGAACTGATATAAGTCGAACACGTCAATTACACACTGTTTTATAATTGGCAAGATTATATGTTCCAGGCATGTGGAAAGTGCCCACGTTATTGCTAGTGGCGATAATCCTCGGACCCCTTCGTTTCATTACCTTTCTTTGTCAGTATAACAATGGACTCGAGGCGCCAATCATCTGGAATCAGCGACTGGCGTAAACAGTCATTGAATGTTTCTGTCATATTTCTGTCACAGTTCCGCACAGTTCGGTCGAGCACAATCCTAACATCACTGGACTGACCTTGTCAGGATCTGATGTGACGTGACGTTCGAGCGCAGACGATTCAGAAAAGAGCGAACATCAGCATCGCAATACCACCATCACGAGACTCACTTTCCCTGGACGATCAAGACGGTGACCAAGTACATTCTCATCGTTTGTGGGATGCAACCAAGTTTGTTGTAAGAGCATAGCAGTGGCGTTCGTGGTCCTAAAAAGCGACATGGTAACAAAGGCATTAAACTCACAAAAGTTGGCAGGACGGAGCAGCAACTGTTTCAAATTATCCTCATATTCATCTTCCATGGCCGCATTTCCTTTCGGGTTGCGGGGGCAGACGCGTCATACAAAACTTCCATCGTTCCCGATCCTGTGCCAGAGTCTGAGATTCGGCAGAAGGCAACTGGAGTTTGGAGCACACTCCTTCCATATATTTGCACCGCTAATAATCTTGGCCGTCCCCTGGGCCTTTTGCCGGTCGGATTTGTAAGGAACTGTTGCTTAGCCTTCCTTTCTAGAGGCATTCTCAACACATGCCCAAACCATCGCAGCTTATACTTCTCAATCCTTCTGATTGAAGAAGCAGAGGCTGTAAACCAAGGCTCTTCCGACTGTCAGTGTTCCATAAAATTTCTCTCCAGATTGAGTCAAGGCTAAGTCAAGGATAATTTCAATTCAGGAACCCGTCAAGAGTATCGCAAACGGCAATTAGAATTCGTCAAATATACTGGTTAACCTCAGAGAAGAATCAAAATACCACAGACGTCGACCTGGAACCCAACGTGCAACATGGAAAAGCAAAGCAGCCGATATCTGCGTTGAGAGATACAGCTTGATAGTATACGGAGAAGTAATCAGTGCTTAATGGCAAAAGAGTTGAAAGATTGAGTATGTAGAATACTTCAAAGAGAATCTTCTGACCTCCTACAGGCTAAAGTTTTGACTCTGTTACAGGTCTATGCGCCCAAATTGGAAGTAGAGTGTGAGTCCTTCCTTGAAGGAAGTGGAATGTTCCCTGTCCAATGTCCCTCATTCTAATGAACGATTTGAATGCGCATGTACCAACAGACACTGACAAGTGGAAAGGCGTGACTGGAAGAATGACCCTAGTGACCTCAATAATAACGGCATGACGTTATTGCGGTTACGTGCAAACAATGGACTGTCCATCAAGATCACCGTCGAAGCGTGCATCAGTATGAAGATGATATCTATTTGATCGACGCTCTGTAATGAAT